CGGGACGTTGGGCTAGCGATTTTGCGAGCCCTGAGCCCAATAAACATCTAATCTAATCTAATATATTCGATTACATAATCACATAATCTATGGGATTAATTAGGTTTTATAATTGTATAATCCACAATAATCTAAGAGGGAAAAGAGGCAAATAGACTACTGCTTTGATAGAGGCCATGTAAGAGGATGTTTGTCATTCTGATGCTGTCATAAAGCAAATTATTGAGCGTGTTATTATTTTTAAGATCTAAAGGAACATTTGCACACCTCAGGATAAATGAACAAAATGAAAATGTAAACATGGTATAAAAAATCTAAACAAAGAAAATAGTATCAGTTCTGTTATTATTATTATTATCACTCCTATAAGAAGATAAGGCCTCATCTCACCAGCTTCTCCATGGAGCGGACGGTGGCAGGAAGGTAGTAATAGCACCCTGGGCTGGATGGATGAATAAGCCCAGCCTGCTGCATGAGCCTCTGGCTCTTGCAGCTCATCTCCCCTGGCAGCCGGCTGTCCTGCGCCACATCACGTAAGTTCGAAGGCTGGTAGAGACGAGACACCAGGAGTACGGGCTTGCTACCATAGGAGGGCGCAGAAGCAGGGACGGCTGCCCGCTCAGCACAGCCTGAGTCGAACCTCTTCGGAAGGATCAGGGTCCTGTGCAGGCGGCGAAAGGCTCTCTGCCAAACCTGAAGCATCACAGGCTCCATGGTGCATGCAGATGTGCTGCTATTCAAAGAGAAATGATAGCACAATCAGTTGAAACTGGATAAGTTACCTCACCTCGATATTTAGCACACAGTGCCACGTGATAACTGCAAAATCCTCAAATGTGAGATTTTTTCTCTTTTCATGGCTTATATGACAGTTTGGAGTTTTTGACTGTTAGTTAAACAAAACGAGCACTGAAGAAACATCACAGAGTACTCGTTCTTCTTTACTGGCCACTGTAGGAAAAATCTGTGTTTACATGGAGATATTTTTAATACATTTCCCAGTTTTTTCAATTACATGATACTTTTCACAGAAAATAAAATATGTTCATGCAACACTGTAGTTTTTACTCTTTGATATTTATTGTGGTAACACTTCAGCACATTTACACGCACTTATAATGCGCTTCCTCCATGCTATGCTGCTCATTAAACCTGAGTGAAGGGGGCGAACCATCAGCACAGATGCTTTTTAGCTAGCAGGTTGTTTCATAAGTTGTTTAATCTCAGTAATTATATGCAGGTTGTAGGGTTTATCCAGCCGGAACAGCCACGGGTTATTACACAAATACAGAGGACTGATAGCTGTTTCACAGTGCTGATGTTCCTGACAGATACATGGATGCTAGCAGGTTAGCTTGGAAGCTAATGTGAAAATGACCTTCTTCAGTTTGCACGCGATATCACGTATGCAGCGAGAAAGACTCACCTTAAGACCGATAACGAGTGTCTGACTGTCCTGTGTAAATTATATAACTAAATGAAAGAAGAGCGACATTTTTTACTAAGTTCGCAAAAACACTGAAGGTCCTGCTACACTACTACATGCTGCCTTTCTTCCTCAGCTACATGTCGACAGGCTAGTTTTGAGAAAATGCCCCCTACAGGCCCGGAGGGGCTCTGCAGCAGCAGGGGCAGTTTTAGCTCTGGCTGTACCGGGTTTATACTCCGACTCAGAGAGATTATGGATGAGATTTGTCTCAAAGCTGGCCTTTTAAAAACAATCGCCGTGAATGAAATCCAAACAACATAACAATGTTACTTGATTAAATGAGTAGAGGTGGGCGGGTCTATCCAAATATCAATAGTATATTGATAGTACTAGAGTGATAGTATCGATACTGTTTCTGTCATGTAAGTTCAGTATGTAGCACACTGACATGTGTTTAATATTTTTGATTTTTTTTTATCTTTTAGTGTAAATATTATCCGTGCATAGAAAAAAAGGAACAGAAAATAGTAATTAATTAACATATTTCTGCCTTTTGGCTGTACTCACAAGCTCTGAATCAATTTTAAATTTTAAATTTTAAAATTTAAAATTTAAAATTCACCAAATTTTTCTAAGTATAATTCTCACCTCCACGGGACAAGACTCAGCAGTCCATCTGTATCTAAAGGTCAAAGGTCACTCTTTCGAGGATGCCAATGTTCACATTTTGGACAGAGAGGACAGATGGTTTGAAAGAGGAGTGAAAGAAGCATTTATGTCCACTGTGAGCGACCATCTTTGAACAGAGGCGGGGCTTACGACACAACTGTCTGCCATCTATAATCCAGTTCTAGGTTCCCTTCCCAGACGCCTTAACGCCCTCTCACATCCTGGGCCATCTGACCTCAGGAAATTACATGATAGGGTGGAGCTAGGTTTCACAATGAGCTCATGTGATTGGGTAGAGGATCATTAGGGGGTCCATGTCCCTCTTGGGGGGAGACACTCCCACAGGGTTTAAATGTGGGACTCTCCACCATTTGACCCTAGAAGCTTCTCGGATGAGAGGTGAAACGTCTTCAAGCAACTTAAAGAAGACGCTTTTCTTTCCAAGCTCCTTAGACCTTCTGTCAGTTTAAAACCATCCTAACTACCTATGAGGCTCTGGGGACAAAATGTTTGTGATCGTCACAGTATCTTATCACTTTCATCTTCTTATGAATTTCAATAACGGGAACACAGACACAAGAATAAATCTGACGTAGCAGACAAACACAGGAGAATACTCTGAAGAGTATTAAAATAAAACTGAACAATATAGTTTCACGGTTCAAAGTTCTTTATTGTCACTCATAATGAAGAAACATGACAGAGAATTACTCAGCTCTGAGTTCTCATAGGTTAGAATGTTAGAAATAAGTAATGACCTAATAATAATAACAATTATAATAACTATAATAATAATAATGGCTTAGTCAATAAGTCCATTAAAAGTACATAATGCTAATTGTGAGTATTGAGAGCTATTCGTCAGCCTGCTGGACCAGATACTGCACAGCCTCCGGCCCGAGGGGAGGGCCGTGTGTGAGGTGGGTGGAGTCTGTCATGATGCAGGTGGTTCTTTCCTTCCATCTGCTGGTGTAAACGTCTGAGAGGTGAGGCTGTCATCTATCCTTAGAACTTGTTATTCTAACATGTTGTTCTTCACTACAGTCGTGAACTTCCTCTGAGCTCTTCTCTCGTTTCTTCCTGCCTCTCCTCTCCAGACTCCCTTCCACCTGCCTTCAGTCTCACTACAGATCACGATGTTGTGCGGAAACATCACAGTCCACAGAGACTCCTGCCTGATTTCATCTGCCAGCCCGTCCATCACCACAGCAAACAAGAAAGACTCAGATCTTCTCCCTGATGTAATCCCGCCCCCACCTTAAACCCAACTCCTGCTGCACACCTCACCACTGTCTCACAGTCCTCATACGTGTCCTGCAGCACGCTCGCAGACACAGTTCCTCTCTTGGCACCTTATCGTTTGCTTTCTCAAGCTCCACAAACATACAGTGCAGCTCCTTCTGACCTCTCAAAGCAAACATCACGTCTTTCTCAGCATGAAGCTGCACTGCTGCTCACTCAACATCACATCTCTCCTTAGCTTCTAGCTTCAGCAACTCATGATGACTCATCAGCTTGACCTTTCTATAGTTACTAAAACTCCGCACGTCAGCCTTGTTCTTGAAAATCAGTCGTATGATTATAACTGCTCACCTTTGTCCAGCTTTTACACATAAAACACGTGTTTAATTTTTATCCTCATAACTAAAATTCTGTATGAACCACACATTAATGAGGGTAAAATAACAGAACCATTATTAATGCAAAGAAAATTAACTAATCCGTATACAACAGCATCAAAATATACAATTCTGTGACTATTTGTGATTAAAAACTAATAAATAATAACTAATAAACTAATATATAAATAATAATAATACCTTTGTTCCTGCTAATGCATTTTGTCATGAACAGAGAAAGATGGCACCTGTGTGTTTGGCGTGCCGTCTATCGCTCTCTTCCATTTGTTTTATTTTATTGTTTTTAGTCAATTTTCTGCAACATGTCAGCCCTGCATCGTTTTATGATCGCCAGACATTATTGGAAATAAGCTGATCTACCCAGGCTTAGTTTTTAAGTCTTTATTAAAAACCTATTTTTATTCTCTGGCTTTTAACTCTGTGGGTAACTGATATATATATATATTTATTGCTATGTCTGGTTTTATTAGTATTGTACAACACTTTGGTCTACCAGGTGTGTTTTTAAAGTGCTATATAAATAAATAAATGATGATGATGATGATAATAGTTGTATTTAACTTGTTGGTTTTACTTTTTTGTTCTTTGTTTGTTTCGTATGTTCACTTTGGCAGCTGTCAGGAAGGACAATTCACTATTTTTTATGTAAAAATGTATTAATTTCTGTTATTATCAGATTTCTGGCAGAAATAATTCAGACTGAGTCAGAAGGTTTAGATGTTCTCTGTTTGTTCATAAAACCTGGAAAAACAGAAGAAACTCCAAGAACAAATGAACCCATATGAGCTGGCTTTGCAGGCTTCCTCCACATCCCTCACGTAGAGACAAACAGGAAGAATATGAGAGATTTTATTCATGTGCAAATGCCATTTTTAAGAAGAATGCTTGTAGCTACAATACATTTAAAGCAAAAATAAGTTTGAAAGAAAATATGTCAACTTAAAGCAGTAGACAAAAGCTAAAGTATATTTGATTTTTCCCACTGAGACTAAATCACAGGTTTGTGGTGATTTTATGTAAAATTTAAATCCATTTTTGAGCTTTTTCTGTATCCAAATCAAATTTTTCTATTTGAGAAAGACAAGACACGTTGGGTCATGAGAGCATCCAGGTGTTTATTGCAGACCTCACTAAACTAAAAGTCATCCATTCCTCTTTTCTTTAAACTAAAATCAACAGAAACAGCAGAAACAGTCAATAGTCCTACATACACTCTGCTGCTAAATTCTGCATTACATTCAGAAATGTTTACCTCAAATCAGAAAATGTTGTGTAAGTTCTGAGTTTAGACTTTACTGAGCTGAAAACAGGAAATCTTTCCTGTAAAGTGAAAAGGCCGAAGCACCAGAGTGGAAACGAGTGAAGGTTCAATGGCCGGAAAGAACATTTTTAATGAGCCATTTCATATTGACCTTACTTCTCTTCCTCACTGAGTCATGCTATATATTTACACACCTGTTACATAAAATTTTACCAATAAAAACATATTACAAAAACACACTTTTCCAGTCTAGTTTTAAAGCTTCAGACAGCCAAGAGGAGACTGTATGAGAGAGAAGACTGTAACGGTTCTTCTCCACAGAAGCACAGTGACCTTCATTTTTTCTTCTTCTCTTCCTCCAAATCAGCAGGTTTTTGGTTGCAGAAGTAAAACTGCAGTTTTTGTATATGACGTTGATAATTTGCATGACATGTAGACATATAATAAGCCAGGTGGGCCTTTTCATATCAGTGATAACTGAAGGCAGCACTCGCTGAAGCGCTCCAGTCTGCTCCAGAAAAGCGCAAATGTACACTTTATGATTTTTAAAATACACGAGAACATGAATCTGAAGCTAAAAGTTAATGTTTAATTTGGTTTTTTTTTTTAAAATGAAATGTAAAAAATGAAAGTTGTGAGACTCAGGTTCAAACATGGACAGATGATGGTTCAGCTCAGAGAGGAGGAAGGTTTTCCAGGATCCTTCTGTGATAATTTAACAGAAAACTGGAAAACCAGTGCAGAAATACAACAAGTATTTGTTTGTGCTTGCCCTTATTATTAATCTTTATGTGTTTTTATATGTCTTCTATATTTCTTTTCAGGAACAAGCATTGAAAACAAAGTTTTTAAACTAACAGCTCTCTCAGCCTCCCGGGGTGTATGTTAATGCACTTGTGCTGGTCTTATAAAAAGAAATCAGCAGTGTTAAACCTTTGTACTCAGTGACACAGGCGACTGATGGTTGGCTAACATTGCAAATACACTAGAATTCCCCCTCCGGGCGCTTTACCTTCAGGAGGACGCTGCTGAGGTCAGCTTTTTGTCTGGTAGGTTCATATAGACCAAAGATGCAGTCTCCCCGAGCCAATTAGGTTTGTGTCTGCTTCATCCGCTTATCTTGTGGCTCCCTTTGTAAAATGTAGTTCCAGAGAAAAGGGCGACTGAATGTCTCCGTGAGATATGAACAATCCCATTAAAACAGATGTGATCTGAAAACATCACATTTTCCTTTCGGGCATTAAAGTAAACATAGAAGTCATGTTTTTATTGTCACAAAGATTCTGAGAAACGCCAAGTTAAAAAACACAAATCGTCCAAAAACGTCAGACGAAATGCTGCGTTAGAAACAATTCAGGGATCAATTAGTAAAGTAAAAGTTCAAAAATGTTAAAATAAAATGTTGCACAGCAGAAAAGTTTCAGATGATCATGTGTTACTGGGGATGTAACGTTTGATTGGTTGGATGGAGAGAAAGGCACGGACGTTCAAAGCTGTCCTTTACATGTGTGCAGATACCAAGGTCATGTAGAGGCAAATATATTAGCCTTCAAAAAATATTGCACA